GGGGGGGGGGGCAATTTTTTATTTTTTTTCGATGAGGGCAAATTTTTGCCACTGGTTTGCTTCTAGAACACGTGCGGAAAAGATGCAGTATGAAGTGTGTTCTTAACTTAAAAGGGGAGGCGTAAAAACGTCCCTTGCTTCTGCGTGGGGTGAAGTTCTACAGATTTGTTTCTTTAATCTCGCCTTTTTATCAGTTGTTTTTTTCTTTTCTTTTTGTCAATTCATCAGTTCGTCTCGTTTCTTTAGAAGAACTACCATATGCGTTGTTTAATAAGGCGTCACTACCCTGGTCCCCAATTCCACTACCCGCCCCCGGTCTCTGGTCCCCAAAGTGCTTTCAAAATGTATTTGGTTACAAAATAATTCCGCGCTTTTGGCGCGCTATTTCAGAAAAAAAAACTGCAACATAACGTGCCAAAACACGACGGCACAAAAACAACGTGCTATGGTAAAAAAAAATGCTGCCGTAAACTGAAATAAGACTTATTTCTAGACAGTCACGGGGAGGCGCCCCCATGCCCTTAAAAAGGCGCCCCTGACAGCGTTGCCCCCCCAACGAAAACCAAAAAGTTACGCCCCAAGGCCAGGTTTCTGAACCAAGCTTAACGCAACTTTTGCCGATCGATAGAGAATGAACCAGGAATTCACATGGATCCTAAAAATATGCATTTTCAAAAATCATAGGCGGATACAGATCATTGAGATTGGGGGTACACAAAAAGTATAGTAAATAAGGTTTTTGTTGGTACTGTTTCTAAAAAGGGTGGCAATGGTCTTGTTATGTTACAATTTTCTTATGAGAGAACGACTAAAATTGTATTGGTCATGCATAGGCGGTGTCAGGGCACCTATGTTGGGAGGTAAAAAATAACCCCCCTTTTTGGACGCCTGGATCCGCCTATTATAGCAAAAACGTGTCAAAAGAGGATGCACAATAACTTTGTATATGTCATCACATGATACCTTTCATTCACTGTTCGTAAAACTGGTGCAGCATCGTGATCTTCGCCCAAATGACTCGCTTCTCGAATAGGACCCCCCAATTCCCAGTGCTCTGGAGCCGCCCCTGGTAAAGTTATGAACTTGAAATTTTCAGGGAATGTGCCCAATTTAGTTTTAGGAAAAGTCAGAAAATTTCAGCATCGTAGCTTCAGCGGTTTCGGAGATATTCCCGAAAAACCTGAGGGGTGGATAAAAACAACCCCCCCTGCCACTAATAGGGTTAAAGCAGCATGGCATGACGCCTACCGCGCTCCGGGTCAGTCGGCTGGGCCTCCGGCGAGGCCAATCACGTGACCAGTCGGCGGTGAGGGACGGACCCCGTCCTGTAAATAAAGGGGAGGGGTCGAGGAGAGAGGGGGAGGTGGTCGCCGCCCTTTAAGATGACAATAAACGTTTGGTCAACGGAAGCCGTCCTACTTGCAAAACAGTTGTTTTTTATCGCAAAGCGGAAAAATTCAAACTCATCGGCACATGGGTGGCGCAATTCACCCAGGTATTTCAATTATTTATCCCGATAGCTTCAGATCGTGTACGGAATGATCACCAATTCATATTGCAATCGCTAAAAAAAAAAAAAATACCAGTGTGACTGCAATTACATCGCATCCTTCCATAAATATAAATTTAAAAAAGTATTGGCTCGCTTAGTAGTCAATTAGTCATATGCTTCAACGTTATTTTTCTCTTCGTCTTTTTTTATGAAAACGAGTGAACGTTGAAAGAAATGTTATGCTATTCATCCTCTGACCATTTTATTTTAGAAACTTATTTGTATGTCGAATTTCTCCCCCCACCCCATTAACTGGCAACGCCGTCCAGAAGGCCTCTTCCAAGTATAGGGTTATGGCGGTATCGTGCTTCGCTGTGATCTCACACGCAGCACGCACACTGAACTGACTGTGATTGGCGCTCACTGAGACAAACCAATGAGCCAATGAGCGCACTGTTGAGTATCCGCCGGGGGCGGTGGACGGGGTCAAGGGTGATTGATACGAGCATGACCTCTGGCCGGCCTCCACCTGCCTCGACCCAGTTGTTGGGCGCCCGTGCCTTTGTCATACAGCATTTCTACTCATACAGCTAGCGTAGGATTTTGCTACAGCGTAAATCTTGTAATACAGGTCATGTCGATGAGGCCCTCAATGAACAAAAAAGTTCGGCGGACAACCGAAGCCAATGCAAAAATATTTTACAGAATTAGACTATACAGGTGGTTAAAATTTAAGGTATTCTGATCGGCTATTGCAAAACATCAATTCATTCAAATATTTTAAATAAAATAAATGGTAAATCTGATATTGTAGTAAGTTACAACTGCTCATTACGAACATCTTCTCTCATATGCTGCTTTTTTCTATCTTCAAAACCGTAGCCTTGATAGTTATTTCAGTCAAAGCTCCCACGTGAATCCGTGACACGCTGGCTGCTTCACAAAATGGCATCGGGCATCGCTTTCGCACGCCTCGGGTCAAAGCTCACTGTTGCCCTGAGGCTGGTGTCCCTGTCACCCTACCTCCACCCACCCCTCCCACTGCACCGGCCGGTTGCCCCGCGGTCAACCCCTCCCCACCTCAGACCCTCCCCCTCCTCGCCTGTCAGAGAGCAGCTCCTATCGGCCGATGCTGTTGTCCGGATCATCAATGGCAGGGCTACTCTCTACTGGAGGGTCCAGCAATGACTCCTTACTATTGCGTAGTACGCACGCGCGTAGGTTTACAACTCTGTGTTCAGTGGCGGTCACAGAAACATGACTCCGGGGTGCTCCAAGGGGCTCGATATTTCAGTTTTTCGATGATAACGAGCATGCTGTGGCAGGTAGAATGGTGACACATTAGAGAAAGTTGTCAATCTGAAATACGAAGCTGTGCGATCCTCGCTTTTGACGATATATCTTACCGTCAAGGAATGGCGCTATGTTTTGTTCGATCACAGTAGAACCCCACATTACTTTAGCGGTGACCTGTACATACAGCTAAGCTTCTACAGGTCGAGCGCCGGCCTCCTATTTGTACGTACAGAGAGCCTCCTACTGTTACAGAGGGCCTCCTATTTGTCTAGGGGGCCTCCTATAGGTTAATGGTGCCTCCTATTTGTCCAAGTGGCCTCCTATTCGTCTAGGGGGCCCCATGTTTGTCCAGGAGGCCTCCTGTTTGTCCAGAAGGTCTCCTATTTATCCAGGGGGCATCTATTTTCCAGGGGGCCTCCTCTTTATCCAGGGGGCTTCCTACGTGTTCAGGGGCCTCCTATTTGTCCAGGGGCCTCCTATTTATCCAGGGGTCTTCTATTCGACCAGGGGTCTCATAATTGTGCAGGGGCCTCTTATTTGTCCAGGGGTCTCCTACTTGGGCCAGGGGAGGCCCTCCTTTTTTGAAGGGCCTCCTTTTTGTTAAGGGAGCCTTCTAATTGTTCAGGGGCCTCCTATTCGTACAGAGGGCCTCTAGCTCCTACTTGTCCATGGGGGCTCCTATTTGTTCAAGAGGCCCCCTATTTGTACAGGGGGCCTCCTATTTGTCCAGGGGGCCTCCTATTTGTCCAAGCGGCTGTTATTTTCCTAGGGGGCCTCCTATTTGCCCAAGAGCCCTCCTATTTGTCCAGCGGGCCTCCTACTTGTTCAGGGGGCCTCCTATTTGTCCAGGGGGCCTCCTATTGGTAAAAGTAGCCTCCTATTTATCCAGAGGGCTCCTATTTTAGGGGACCTCCTCTTTATCCAGGGGGCCTCCTTGTTCAGAGAGCCTCCTATTTATCCAGGGGCCTTCTATTCGTCCAGGGGGCCTCCTATTTGTCCAGGGGGCTCCTAATTGTCCAGGGGGCCTCCTTTTGTGAAAGGGGCCTCCTGTTTGTCTAGGTCTAGGGCCTCCTATTTGTCCAGGCCCAGGGGGCCTCCTATTCGTACAGAGGGGGCCTCGCCGCCTCCTATGTCCAATACTTGTCCATGGGGCCTCCTACTTGTTTAGGGGGCCTCGTACTTGCTCAGGGGGCCTCCTATTTGTCCAGGGAGCCTCCCATTTGTCCAACAGGGCCTCCGATTTGTCCAAGGGGCCTCCTATTTGTACAGAGAACCTTCTATATGAACATCGGACCTCCGTTTGTAAAGTAGCTGGTGCGTCTCGGGGGCCTCCACTATTGGGGTCCCAAAATGACAATTGGGGTCCCAAATGTTCGCACTGGGGTCCCACATGGGACCTCGAAAGTATACAAAGTTACACCCATGGACTCAGAACTTCGTAAAGTGAGGATGTTGTGAAGTTTGTCGGGGTACTGATCACGAATTTTATCTAAGTTTTGATCACAGATGTCTTCGTGCATTTAGGCCAGGTCGGGTCAGGTCAGGTCAACCAATAGGCGTCCTGTCGGGTATTTATAGTAGGCATCAACAACCACTGACAGCTTCGTAACATGTTACGAAGGCACCAAAATTACTTGGTATATGTTCAAATGGTTGCGAAATTCTAGGTACAATGTATAGAATTGATAAACCTGTACTGAAAATGTCATCGCGATCGGCCGCTTTTTGCGCGAGTTATTCGCGAAAACCCGAGAAAAAGGGGGGGTCCCCTATAAGTGCGAAGGTTAAAATTGGGTAGCAGCGTCTTCCTATCGTCACGGGTAGCACGTTCATTTTTCTACCGCAAAGCTCCAGATCAGATTTCAGAGGCCGAGAGGCTGGGGTCCGACCGGCCCCTCCCCGTTTACGTTAGCTGTTATGAAAACGCCAATAGAGGGGCAACGGTTAGCGTTCGATCTTTGAACCCTGAGACCAAACAGGCGTGATGTCTGTCCCATCAAGGGAGACATTAATTCTAAGATAAGGCTTTCTCAGAGGCCCCCATTACCCCCCGCCGAGGGGCTCCATTACCCCCAAAGGGGGCATGCCCCACCATTTGCCGACCCCTGATCTAAAGAACCTCCGTGGATATCGGCATAAGACCGGACACACACGGCAGCGACCCTGACTACCAGCCAGCGTCCATTATTGGGCACTGAGGTCAAACACTCACCCCGAGGTCACAGTTGGGAATGTCGAGGTCATCCTCCACCACCAGCTGACCGGACAGGGCCGGCGGCGCGCTGCCCGTGGACCTGCCGGAGACTCCAGAGACCCCTGACCGCGGCTTGGTCAGGTCCACGGCCTCCTCTGTCGGGTCACCGCGCCCGGCCGGACGAGCGGTGGTCACCTTTATCTTGGTGCGTGCTGGTTTACTCTCCCCGCAGCCCATGGCTGGCTATTGACTGAGGCCGGCTCCGGGCCGAGCCTTCAGACGAAGACGGCGCGCTGGTCTGAGGTTGGGGCCACCGGACGGTCCGGCAGGGTGTTAGGGGGTATGGCGATCACTGGTGTTCAGAGAATGGGGGTGACCGGTGGCGTGACCGTTAGAATGGACCGTCCCTGGAACAGAAACGGAAAAAAGGTCAATTAGCGGCACGAAAGAAACGTAGACAAACATTCTCACACGCACATAACAGCTTAGATCCATCCATTTATTCGTTCGAGGAAGGAGTAGAAGCATGCCTATACTGATTGACTTCAGGCTTTTGGAGGCAAGCGTTTATAGTATTATGTACATATATGTATGTCCTCGTTCTTAATTTATAAAGCATTTTAATGACTTTATTTAGCTCTAATACAAACACATCAACATAGCTAAGCTAAGCTCTTCACAAAAGAAGCCGTGCATTTCGCAGAATCTAGGGTAATCAAATAATGCCTTACTCGGAAATCAATGCCGCTGTACGGACTTATTAGCCATGCAGCGCAACGCAATATCCGGATCGGCCCAGACTAGCTACAGTCAGGGCTAAAACATTCAGGGATCCAGGCTGACAATCGAAACAATCGAGAACGTCTCAGTAGGTATCGATTTGGATGAATGAAGCATTAGCAGTGACCAGTGCCACTTCATTACAAACTAGCGATTGGAACATTCTGGGACAACGCAGTTTACTATATGAGGTTGTCGCTTGCAAGGGTGACACATTCCGTGACACATTCGTTCTAGAATGTACCTTAGTAATCATTTAAAACCTCTGAAGAAATCCAAAATAGGTTCGATCGTTAAAAGTAACCAGCAGAAAATTCCGTACGTATATAGATAACGCCATAACGAAACTACTGGTAAAGTAATTTGGATAACGCTAAATGAAACAAAGCCCTGCAGCCCGCGTTTTAACCCTCGCATGTGTGCGGCGTTTGCCAGCTTCTAATGTGTAGGGGGGGGGTCGGTTGGACCCCCCCTTGCCGTTTGGCCCCTGATTGAGCTAGAGCTTCGCGGAAAAAACGAGCGTGTTGCCCGTGACGAGAGGAAGCCGACGATACCCAATTTTAAGGTCCCAGGTCATTGGTTGACCTTCCAGGTCAGGTCAATGACCCGAAAACCGGGAAAATCGGGACCTGTTAGAAAGTCGTAAAGTGTGGCTGCTAAGGGGTTTTTCGGGGTGCTGATCACGAAAATCGTGTTAGTTTTGATCACAGATGATGTCTTGAAGCATTTAGACCAGGTCGGGTCAGGTCAGGTCAGGTCAACCAGTAGGCGTCGTGACGGGTATTCGTAGTACGTGTCAACCGCCTCTGACAGCTTCGTAACATGTTACGAAGTCACCAAAACTACTTCGTAAATGTTCAAATGGTTGCTAAATTCGAATTCAGCTCCAAAAACTAGCCTAGAAACATGTAAAACTCGAAAAAGTGACCCGAGGTCACCCGAGGTCACCAAAGGTCAATGACCTGACCTGACCTTCAGGTGACCTTGACACACACGGGAGTAACATCAAATCACATGTTTGAACGTTTGAAACCACGAAAAGCTTGCAAACACGCGGCTAGTGCGAGCCGACATACGCGAAATCGCGATTCCGGCCAAACATGGTCTCGGAAAAGAGGTCACAGGTCAAAGGTCATTTGGGTCAGGGTCATGAAATTTTCAGGGTAGGTGTAAAATTGATCAATGCGAGGGTACTGAAAGTTTCGTCGCGATCGGCCGCTTTTTACGCGAGTTATTCGCGAAAAACCATGGGGGGGGGTCCATCCGACCCCCCCCCCCTACACATGCGAGGGTTAAGTTCCCTGGGAGGGTAGGCTGTACCGCACGCCAGGCGTGTCGTGCGGAACAGTCTACGCGCCAGTGTCCACGCTACATTAGATGCGTGCAAAAACGGGCGAGAGTCCTAATACACCAAGGGGCAAGGGCTGATATAGGCATTCATAACTGGATATTTTAATTAAGGCTCTGTCTTACGCGCCTCTGCTGTTGAATTGTGCGCCTATGTGCGTTAGTGTTGCATGAACTCTTTACCAGCGATGGACCGCATTCTTTGAATGTAGGGAACTGTGCAAAGGCTTATTACACCCTACAGGGGGAATGCACGCTTAGTTTCGATCGACGTATTACTTAGAAAGAAACGAAGATACTGATAGGCGATTGCCGCTTGTAGATACAATAACCGAATGCATGTTTTTTTTTTCTTTGAGCACTGAGCAGTGTGGAAAGCTCACTGATCCGAGGGGCCGCGCCAAGGGTGCTAAGGGATGATACGACAGCCGGGACAGCCGCCAAATTGTATAGTCGGGTGCTGTTATATATCAAGTTAATGGTATTCCTGTGCTCTGCGCACTCAGGGCAGTCAGACTCAGTAATGCACACAGTCTAATAACGTCATGTTAGCCGTGTTACCCAAATACACTTTAAGCACACAGTAGTGGCGGAACACCCTCAATTAAGGGGGGGGGGGGTGGGGCACTGCCGACTTTTGGTCCCATGCTTTCCATGCAACGCCCATAGGGCTAATGTTAAAATGCCAAAATCAAAGAAAAGCACAGTGACCCGGTGCCCTCCCCGTTCCGCCGCCTATGTAAGGACATTTAAATGTGATATATTTCGTACTAATAGTTCTTATTTTATTCGGCCGTTTTTGACAACAGTCGACACCAGCAGAGTAATGCTCCAACCTACCTTCCCGGCTGTCCGTGGAATCCTCGTCTCTCTCCTGTCGATCAGCAGCACACTCTCACTGCGGTGCCGGTCCACGTCCTGCTCACTGACTCCGACTCCGACTCTGACTCTGACCCGGTCCCGTCCGTTCGCTGTTTACCCACAGTGTTTAGGACGATTGACATGGCAACCGGCCCGCCCCCCGCACGGGGTCGATGGGAGTGACGTCACTACCAGCGGCGGACCGATCGGTCGGACCGCAGGTTCACACCACGCCGGAGCGGACCGGAACGGAATCGGGTGAAATCACAGCAAATCAAATCTGAAAAAGATTTGTAGATAAATGCGTGCTTTAGCACTGGTAAGAAGAATGATTATGCAGATGGAATATTTGTCTGACAGCCAGTGGCGGCGCCACGAATTTTCGCCAGTGGGGGCAAGCTTGAGGTGACCCGACTGTTGTCTGATACCCCGATCTGCAAAATCCATGAGCACCTTGTTCCTAGATGTTGCCAATTAAAAATTATTATGGTTTCAGGTTTCATGCATATTGCATACGTATTAACCCTCGCGGGCCCGGAACAGGGGGGGGGGAGCGTTTTCTGCCTCCCCTGGCGAATATTTGCGATACCTCATGAACGCTTATAAGTAGAAAGACGAAACTTGCTGTACCTTATCCCCCATAAATTTGAAATCTTTTGAAGCAAAACAAATTGGACCTGGCCTTCTTGATAACGTCTCAGGGCCGATTTTTCTAGACTCCTGCACGGCAAACTTTGGTGTGACAGACGCGAACTTCAACCAGCTGCCAAAAACAGAGTCTTGGAGATAAAGATAAATAACGAGCACGGTCGTGTAGCATTTGACCTAGAAAAATACTTAAGTAACTTTGGTGACCTGAGGTCAGAGGTCAGGTCAACGACCCCGAGCTGAGGCTTGAGTTTTTTTTCGCAAATAACGTCAATAAAATGGTCATAGAGCTACGGCAGCGGTACCTTCGCAATTCGCATTCGTCTGGTCGAGACGCGTCGAATAACATATATATGGTTTGGAAAAGGTCAAGTCTTATGTTGACTTCACGTGACCTCGAATGACGTTTGGTTGACTTTGACACATGAAAGGTTGTTTGTGACGATTTCGTAGCCGCTGATCACGATTCTGGCATTCATTTTGCTCTAAGCATTAATTTAGAGCCTCAGGATGGCAAAACATGTCTTAATTATTATGCCTGACTTAAATAAGTGAAATAGCCTCTAGCAAGGATACTCTCTTGTGACTTTAACCTTCTAGCAGCCTGGTATCGTAAGCTAAAGCACAAATAGGGGCCCGCTAAGCTTCAAAACATTTCAAAACATCTCGGAATTTAGCATACAAGATATAAGAAAAGTGCGAAGTTTGTGGTAAATTTTGATCACGACCGTGACCTTGACTTTGAATGTTATGCACATCATCGGAATCCTCAGACTCTCTCCTTTCGTTTAGCATCCATTTTAGCCGGTTTTATGCACCATGCCGTCCTCTGGAACACGTACTTTGAGACCACTACAAAAGAGCCGGTTTTTGCCTTTGACCCTGACTTTTGACCTTGAAAATTGACCTAAGGTCAAAAAGTTAAGGTGCTATAGAATCTTCTCGTAGTTACCTTTCGTTTGGTACAGTCCACAGCAGAAGTAATGTGCGGTTTCAGTCATGGGTATGTTCTGCTTCTGAAGCTTAGGAACGATTAGCCAGACTGCAACGAGACTTTAACTGTAGCTTACATGTATCTTCACCCTTGCAGCTACAACTTTGTCTATTGACGTCTTCTTTTCAATCAGTCCGCATTTAAAAATCGTCGGTCAAGGCCAGCCGTTGAGATTGGTAAAACCACACATTACTTTAGCGGTGGGCTGTACCATTTTTGGTTCCGTAGCTGCCTTATTTACGGAGTTAGACAGGGGGAGGGCTACCCCCGGGCTGCGGTGGGTGGGATTACCCCCCTGGGCCCGGGCGAGTCGCGAGCAAATAAAACTATAAAACTAGATTGCGAGACACAAACCTGTGAAAATGTTATGTTGAGATGTAAAATGGTGCATTCCTCAAAACAATAATCAGTACCTAGTTCTCTTTTTTACCGTAGTGCGTATATGTGCGATTCTCTCACACACGATTGATACCAGAATAAGCTCTATTAGGGCGATTCACATACATTTCCAGCTAAATCGGATATACATGCCTACCTATCACATTTTGTCACACCTCCCTGAACTCAGTCTCAGTGACAGTCTAAGGGTCCCCAAAAGAGGATGATCTCTTCTCTGGGCGATTTTGACAAACTGCCTCTCAACCTTCTCGAGGTCAAGCTCGAGGGCAGCCTTCTGGTGAACGAAAATGAGTAGGAGAATGAGTGGGAGTACGAGATATGCGACAGACGATCCGAGAACGAACGTTCTGCTGATGCACTTGATACGGGGACCGTCAAAAACAGGCGTACAACTATAACCGCCTATCATGAATGTTGCACCGGTCTTCTGTTCCCATTTCAACATCAGCCAAATTTTGTGGGGGCAAAAACATAGTCTTGCCCCCACGGCCTCCTGCCAGTGGGGGCAGTCTGCCCCCACTGCCCCCACGGTGGCGCCGCCCTTGCTGACAGCGCATCTGCAGAATGAACGTTCTCAGTCAGTCAGGCGTCGACCATCGCGATTACCGTGTGCGGCTCAGAAAGGAATGCATCTCTATAGTACCTACAGCTATATAAAATTCGTTCAGGTCCGGCTGATCCCATTGACGACTCAGAGAAACTACGGGCAAGAAAGTGAAACGCAGTGGTCATTGAAGGTGAATAAATGCACCTTTGCTGCTCATACGCCATCGAAACGTTTCCTTTTTAGAAATTATTTTTACTTTTGTATTTCGTTAATTTTTTACTTTCATGTCCCAAAAGACCTTAAAACTACGAACCATTGCTGACAAACATTTCAGACATCATTTCACCTTTTTTAGTCAGAAATATAGGGACTATGAAGGTGGGGAAAATTAGGCTTAGGGATAGGGTAACTGTGGGGAAAACGCACCCCTGGGTTAAACGCCTCCCCTAAAAAAATCGTATTTCTTATCGACGGATAGGTGTTTTATCCTGTCTTTCAGAACAGTCAGCTGCTTGTTTACGTAGGTCCCTATTTCCGGTTCTGCGTCTTGAGGAGCAGCGTGGGTAGGTGCTGATGTTGGTTTTGGGTGTTATTTTTGTTGTTTTTACAGAAGATTCCTAAGATTTTGATGCCCTCTTTATATCACAAAACTTGCTATTGTGCACATCACTAAAAACTGCGTTTTATTGCCATTCTGGTGAATTTATTATGCTGCGGCGTTAGTGGCGCGTTTTTTGTCAATATTTTGTTGACCGGAAATGGAGTGGATGGGGAAAGACGCCTACTCGATGCATGGGGCAAGACGCCCCCAGTTTTCTGAAAGGGGGGCGTTTTGCACGGTGGTGAGAGTGCAGGGTAGCGCCCTGTAGGTGGGTGCCGAAAAGGCCTCTCCCTGTCCTTTTTTGCTGATATATCCTAAACGACTGCAGATATTGTCACCAAACTTTCAGGGCTCCTCCGGGCATCCATTTTACACATTGCAACACAATTTTATTCCAAAGGCTATGATAGGTTGACCACAAATGACGTCAGAATGACGTCAAGTTCTGCCATGTTTATCATTTTCTGTTGATGGATGGGGTGGGGGCGCTTTGCACATGGGTGTGGGCGTATTACCCAGGGTATGGGGCAAAACGCCCTTTTGTAAGGGTATGCGAAAACCTTTTTGGGGGGTTAACTACCACACGCAGGTGTCTTTTTTTGGTCTCAAAGCGTAGTAAAAAGAATGAGCTACATGATGGTGCCCAAAGGTTTGAGTAATCTGTGTTGGGTTGAGTGTCAGAAGGTTTCGCGCTTACTGGGGGCGTTTTTGACCTATTCACCCTAAGTTTAATATTTTCACGTAACATGTAAGGAAACGATTTCACCGATAGGATGATCTCAGCTGAAGTTAATGGTGACATGAGGGAGCCATCGCCGGCTTGAGGCCTGAGCGAGCCAATTCAGCTGTTTGAGAACAGCTCGGGCTGATCCGAGAGGAACCGTATATAAGAGTGCAAACTCAATATCACTGGCGGATCCAAGGAAGGAGGGAGCTCAGCAATTAGGATTCCAAAGTAGCACATTTCAATCTCTGAATCAACAAAGGGACATCGAAACATCTACCTAAGGCTCTGTTGAGTTGTGATGTGACAATTATTTCATAAATTGATGCGATATAGGCTGCAACAAAAATTACCCGACGTTTCGTTTATTTTAACCTTTTCAAGGGTAATGACTCTTTGAAAAAGTTATAATAAACGAAACGTCGGGTAATTTTTGTTGGAATATCTTGCATATTTATGAAATCTATGACTCCATTGCTGTTTCGGACTCTTGATTTGGTTTATACTTTTCAACCGGATGCGCTATGTGAGAGGGCGAATTTCAGAGGTTGAAGTATTCGTGCAAATGCAATTAAATACCTAACATCCACATTGCACAGGCTCTGACCAGCTTTATATAATCGTACGAAACTCTGGACGAAGCGGGTGAATAACATGCCCCAAATTTGTAAGGTATGCAACAGTACAAGAAGTAACGCTGGCCTTAGCACCGTCTCCACTCCATCCCGTCTATACAATATAACAAGATCAGTTGTACTGATTGAGACAATTTCTATCAGTGTGAATGGTGAACAAGTATCTATCATCAAGGCAAAACGCCAGGGGTGTAGGATCGCAAAATAGGTTGGGGGGGGGGGGGCTGAGCCACGGACGCCGGTGGGGGCGGCGACGAAAGCTGCTCACCGGGGGGGGGGGAGGGAAAAACCAGCAGTGGAAAAGGTGTTGATCAGGGGGGGGGGGGGGGGAGCGTGGACCGTGGTGGTGAAAAGCGGGTCTATGACTTGAGTGATATGACTTAAGCTCTCCCCTGGATCCAAGTTCAGGCTTATAAAATAAGGCGTAGGTATTTATATTCCGGTTCAACGTTTTACAAACACATGTCCACATTTATGCAGTGTATGTTTCCACTCTTCAAATGCAAAGTGATGCCACTAAAACAGTATATG